TCAGATGACGTCAACCAAAACGACAGCACACTTTATGGTAACTGGACCAAAAAGGTCAGAGTGTCAATCAGAAAAGTTCGAGTCCATCAGGCGGTCAGAACTTTGATCATCATGGATTTTTACACAAGTCCAGCTCCAGCCGGGTGTAGAGTACAAGACTTGAATTACATGCAATGTTGTCAGTTCATGTCCAGGTCATGCAAAGTAAAAAAAAAAAGAAAAATAAAAAATAAAAAAAGAGTTTGGTTCTTTTTAAAAGGATTGTATGATCATAGAGAATCTTCCTCACCTTTTCTTTTCAAACTATGGCAAGACTAGCTTCACATTAAATCAGATCTATGTAGCTGGATGCACCTTGTTTGCTTTTTAATCTCTAACAACAAAGTGTCCGGTTGTTCTCAGAGCCAGTTACTTCTTGCGCCTCCTGCTCAGTCAGCACCAGGCACTGATTACACAGGCCTGACCAGCCCAGCCTGTCCAAGTGACCCAGAGGACAGAGTAAAGCTCACAAACAGAAACCTTTTTCTTCCTTGCAGAAGTATTCACAACCTCCTTACTTTTTTTCCACATTTTGTCTTTTACAACCATAAACTGCAGTGTACTTCATTTGGATTTCTTCAGAATTGGCTGAAGTGTAAAGCATAATGTGTTTTTAAACAAATATATATATATACTTTACACTTTGGTCTGAGCCATTCCACTTTTATTGTCATTGTCCTGCAGTGAGATAAACCTCAACCTTAAACAGGTTGAACCTCCTGTAAAAACAAAACAGCCACACACCATGATGCTGCTACCAAAATGCTGCATTTATTGCCACATCTAAATGTTGCAAAACTTTGTGGCAAAGTGTGCAACACTCAAAGAGCTCCGAATACTTTTCCAAGGCACGACATAAAACGAGTTTGCAAAGAGAAACTGGACTTGCATATGCAAACTGGAAAATAAGCATTGTTAATTTCCTTATGTGATTCTCCAAGGGCAATGCAATCATTAAGATGGTAATGAAAGGAAGCAGAATTAGGCATCAGGTCACTCAAAGACATGAAAACAGAGATGTGTGTGGAGTCGTACGGATACCAGAAACTATAACGTTTCCCATGCTCCTGCTTGGATGACACCCAGCTATTGTGACAGAAAACACCAGACTTGCCAGAAGTTTAGATCCAAGCCTGAATTAGCTTTCACCAGAGCAGACAGTGTCATGCCAGATGTCAGCGTAAGGATTTATAAGGATCATCAGAAGCACACATGCACAAACACACAAATGCATTAAATCTGCTGAGCCACCAGCAAAAGTGTTCCAGTAGCAGATCTAACAGGAAGCAAATCAGCAGAAGACTGAACAACTGCAGCAATACAAACCCTCCGACCCCTCTGGAAAGAAAAAAAAAAAAAAAAAAAAAACGCCTTAGATTTAGATTTGTTTTTTAAGATATCTGACACAACCTGCTTTGCTTCTGAGATAATTATTTTGTCAGCTGTGCGGGACAGAAATTGTCCCAGTTATGAGCAATGAAAAACAAGTGGACAGCCGAGAAGCACAACACTTTCATCAGAGCTGCTTGTTTTGAACCTTCGGAGCCCAGAGGGCCCCCAGCAGGCTCTTTCTTCTGAGTGGGTAAGCCAAAGGACACAAAAGAGGACAGAGAATGTTCATCTTATGTAACAAAGCTCCACAATATACACGTCCTCAGAATCCTGCAGGCAACTCAGACAAAAGGAAGCGCTAAATGCACTCAAAGCCAGCCAGAGCTATCCACTACAGCTCATCACGTGTCTCAAGAAAGAGGAGAAAGAGACGGTGTGTAAAACAACCAGCACTTTTAACCTGCTTATCTTTCCTCCAGTGGAGCAATAACGTCCCTGTTGGAATGTAATATAAACCGAACACAACAGGCTTGGACTTGGAAGAAATCGACCTGCTGACCCAATCCTGTCGCTAATCGCAGAGGAAGTCAGCAAAAACTACATTGTCTAAAAAAAAACGAATGATAGTTTTTCACCTTTTAATCAGATATGGAACAGAACATGGACATTATGTTTTTTTATGTTTGTGCACTCTGTCTTCAAATGCTGTTTTTTTTAAAGCTACAAGCCAATCATCTGTAAAATCTATCTCACTCAACTGAGAGGTACTTTGCCACAACATGTTTTTTTTTCTATTTGTTATGCTTTTTGGTTGTAAATAAAGATGAAGTTCCACACGAAACAACAACATGTCTCTAATGACATCGCTTAAGGCGGAAGACAGCCAACTATGTCTGTTTGTATGATTTATTGTCTTTTAACATTTTAGTGGCAGTTTTACTTTAAGTTCCTCTTTCAGATGTGCTTACTTGTCTTCTGTGGAACTGCAGTAAAATGAGGCAAGTTGTAAAAAAAAAAAAAACAAAAAAAACAGGTTGATATGTTTCATGCAGATTATATGTGTCATTTTTCCTTCCACCAAAAAAGCAAAACAAATGTGCAAACAGACATATAATGACGTCAGTGCTATCTGTTAACAACACCATGCACACACCAGCATACTATGGAGGGTAGGAAGTGCCACACAGATCAAACAATTTTGTCTGGACATTATTTATTTTTCATGTATTGTAAAAATAATTATAGAATTGTACAACTGTATTACTATATGTGTATAATTATACAATTATATAACAATTTCTTGAATAGGTGGCACTTTTTGCCTTCCGTACTTACAGCCCACACAACCACCACCATTCCAGTCAAACCAAAAGAGGGAGATCATTTATAAAAACTGAAGTGAGGTGATTTCTAAGCGCATGTAGGACCATTACTCTGGATGAACACGTATTACGGCTTTCACTAATTTCACGAGTTGCAAATATACACTGAAAAAACATCAGATATATGACTAAATAAACAGACGTGTACGGGTTAAAAGTTCTTAAGAAGATCATTATTGCCACTGTTTGTTTAGTTGCAGTATTAACAGCAGAATCTATCATGCCTTGATGTTGGAGATGCACCAATCAATCAGCCACAGATGAGAATAAGCCAATTTCCCCTTGACCTGCTCCAATCAGTGACTGATTCAAACCTGAAGCTTAAAGAAAAGTTGAAATTGGTGTCAGCTTTAAAATCTGGCCAGTGTTATAAGCTGGATCAATTAGTAAGTATAAACTTCATGCAACTCAAAAATCACGCTGGATAATATCTTGTAATGTGAAGGGCAATTCCCAACAGGTGTGTAAGAGGCAGTCAGTCGTATAAAACACTCAAATTCCGCATTGTGTAAATTAAACCAACTGTTTAGAATAGCGCCGGTTCATTTGTTTCTGACGGACACTTTGGCTCTGTTTCCAGCTCACCTCTCGGAGCTCCTTCTCTATCTGCACCGCCCGCTGGACGATGGGGCCGCGGACCGCGTACTCCACCCGCTTCACGTTGGGGTTCATGTTCTCCACGGTCAGCACCTTCCCCCGACCCGACACCCCGTTCACTGCCTGCTGGGACATCCTGGCTGCTTTGCGCTCACCCCGCTGTCCGTCAGCGCCTCAGACCGTAAGACCTTTCTAAAATTGTATTTTTAGGAGTAGAAGAAGAACAACAACAGGTGGAAGTTATCAATAATTAACAGAAGTTGAACGTTGCAGAAGAGGAGATAAAAAATTATCTTTGGTTACCAGCTGCTCTGCGGGGAAAACAAAGTTCCAGTCAGGTCGGGTTCTCGTCTTGGAGAGACCTCGGAGCCTCCCGGTGCTCATATCCCCAACCGGGCCGCCACGCCTCCGTCCGCGGGTTGGCTGGACTTTTCCTCCCTTCAGGCTCTGAACGGAGCCTGCCAGTGGTACGTCCAAGGACTTAAGGAAAATCCAACTTTACAGCCGTAACGTCGACGAAGTCAAGGGAGAAGAAGCAAGTTATAAATCCACACCCGCCGACAAAACACCGACGCTGACAACAGAAGTTGTTTTGGGTCACCCGAACAAGGGCGAAGGCTTTTCGTTTTGACGTCTCCACGCCGTCCCAGCTCATTGAACGCAGCATGACGTCTGCTGCAGAAAAAAACCTCATTTCCACGCGCAGCGTGAACGCTTTGCTTTGCCGAGTTGTTCGGGAACCTTGAAAATTGTTGTATCGTGAGTTCAGGGGTGACACCGGCGATACGTTCAAGGACAGTCTGTGTATTTTTTATTAAAGATGGAGCAACTTATAACGAACAAAGACTTGAATGCATCGCCCATTTGCTTCATTTGAATACATTTGCATGGCAACTGTTTTCGCTCTTGAGCTGTTAAGTGGAACCATCGATTATGAATGTTGAATCCTTTCTGTTGTCTGTTCAGGGGAGGATGATGAAAAACTTGACTTGAAACCCGAAAATGCCCCTTTTTGTGAAGGAAAATGGGACTGTGATGTAGCAGGGGTGCACCCATACAGATTTGAAAGGGTGGCCATGGCCCTGCCATGGACCAAAGTTCTCTCTGTGTTCTGTTATAAGCAGAGTTGTTGATTAACTAAAACTCATTGCAATGGTAAGACAGGACAAACAGCATCTCATACACAAAGTTACATCCAGTCTACAGCAGGGCTGTAGTTTAGCCAGTTGTTTTTATCCGACCTTTATTTTACATAACCTTGCTGTATTTGCACCAAAACTACTCTCACATGTATGATTTGAACAATATATTTGTCTTTATATTTAAATTTTGTAAAGTGCAAGCGTTCCGTGTAAGACACTGCATAAAAAAAAAAAAAAAACTTATTGCAAAGGTAGTTTATCTGTTTCTGTACTGTAGCAGAAATGGATAAAACCAGAAAAACAAGTCGCTGTAATAATCAAATGATCAAATCGGCATTTGTGCAAGAAGGACCCTGCAGACATATCTTGGAGAAGTCGAGGGAAAGACATTTGATATCGCCAACTAAAACAGGGCACGTCCTAGCATGTGATGTCCGGCTGACGTTTTGAGTGTCACGCAGCACGCATTCTGGTAGCATCAAATACCAAGTTAACATAACAGGTCATGGTCAAGGTCAGCTTTGAGAAAAGTAAAAACTGAGCAGCGCTAAGGAGCTCATAAGACAAAATTGAGCATAAACTGGTTTCGATTATGACAGAGAAACCATGCAGGACAGCTGTAAGCCATGGTGGAGTTCTAAGGTCTGAGTTTTTAAGATTCTGGTGCAAAATATTTCAAGTTGAAGCTAAAATAAAAGCTGTTTTGTGTACATTTACTTCTTTCAAAGTCCTATTTTCTTCATGTCTATCTATGGCCACACTGGCAGGCACTTCAAAACGGTTTGACATCTGAGCTGCACTCACTAAGTGTGATGAAAGAGTAAAATGAAAAGAGGAGGAGGGGTTGAGGGCGGCTCATGAGAAGCTTAACTGCAGCAGAAACCAGGAGTTTAAATACACTTCATCGAGACACAGAATGTTTTTGTGCGACTTATACTTTTTCTGTTCGCAGGAGTCTCCATCAGACTAGCCAGCATCAATTAGTAAACACCTGATGGATCAGCACATTTGCTGAGTTGGTAATACAAACTACTTCTCAGTGCAATCCTGTTTTTTTTTTAATTTTTTTTTAAAGGTGTTAAAAGGGTTAATAGTTACATTGTGGCGACTTCCATTAAACAGATTATTATTCCAAATGGCCATTAATTATAAGGAAACCATCAAATGAGATACAAAACGGGTTAGGGATGACAAGGTCAATGATTTCAAGTGGCTAACACAATATTGGGCACAGAAAGTTAATGATCAGAGAAACTTGGGTTACGCAAGGGTGTCAGAAGAACGGAACAAAATTACAACAATCTTGTGTATTTAGAGAAGACACAAATGGTATGATGATTATCATACCATTTGTGAGAAAAAGAAGGATTTTTTGTCCATTGCATTTAGTCCCTGGGATGAAGTATATATAATCTTGGTAAGCTGTAGGAACGCTATCCAGATGTGCAAAGTGGGTTTGCAATATTGAAATACAAAAATTAATTTGTGAAAACAATGTATTCAAGTCTCCCCCCGCCCACCCCAACAGGAATCAATAAAAATAAAGCAGTGGTAAACACAGTACATTAAAAAGTTCATCAAGTCCATCATAACTAATCTCAAAGCTCACCGACGTCATCTGTGAGTCATCGTGCACCAGTTGCAAACCAATGTTAAACCAGCCACAAAATGAAGGCACAAAACTCTGATTATCAATCTGACAATTAAATAACTCTTTGATCAGTATGTGAATGCAAAAATATTTTTCTTTCAGTTTTTTCTTCATGTCATCATCTTTTAAAGATGTTTTTTTTCCAGCCCCTCCAAAGTAAGACAAATAAATTGTGTGATTAAATTCAGAGTAGAAAAACAAATACTGACAGAAGAACGGAGATCAGGTTTTCACAAATGTAAATTGATTTAAAAAGAAACAATTTCATATCAAAGGAAAATAAATGTACAAATTGCACCATTACAATATTGAAGTGTAAATTGTTTGAGCAGTAAAGAGCAAACATTTTTCTAAATTCAAAATACAAAGCTGTAAATCATTCAGAAATCCAAACATAAAAAAAAAAAACTCTTTAATGCAAGAAGATACATTAAAGAAAAACCTCTTTCCATATCAAGAGAAATTAGTTGATGAAGTAGACAACTTCATGTTTACGCCGACTCACATTTCTAGGCAAACTGGATCCTGGAGTTCTCCTGAGTTCAAGTCAAAACTTTACATTCAACAGAAACGAATGCCTCCAACAGGGGGGCAAAGCTGGAGTGTGTAGGTGACTGGAGAAGAAGAAACATGGATGAAATAAACAAACTGGACATCAAACCATTATTGGCACGGGGCAGCCCAGTCTCACCAGAAAACGTGCAATGAGAAGGTTCCTCTGTGTTTTGAATGTTTTAGAATGAAAATCTGAAAAGGAAATGTGTCACGAGGCCATGCTGTAGCCCTGCATTGCCTGGTGAGACGTCACCATTTATTAAAGCCATGTACTTAAACCTGTTCACATTTTGTCACATTAAAACCACAAACAAATGCATTTTGATAGGATTTTATGTGATTTACAACAAAAACGGAATGAAAACAATGAATGTTTTTAATGTGTGTACAAATAAAATGTGGTGTGATTTTGTGCAAAATCTGTTGACAAAGTAGCTTTAGGTGGTGCTCTCAACTAATCTTTTTCTTTATAAAAGACTTGTAAGAAGCAACTGTCATTGAAAGAAGGACCAAAATTCAACCTTTTGTTCTATGTATTTAGAAAAAAATAACATGACACATAGTGGTGGCAGCATAATGCTTTGGGAATAGCTTTTGTCAGCCAGGATAGAAAAGCTGGTCAGATTGATGGGGAGATGAACAGGCCTAAACACAGAAAGATGTAGGGGGGAAAAAATAAATATCAATGCCATGAAACCCAAGTCTGAGGTCGAAATTCAACTTCTGAACACACAGCCAGAGCAACAAACCAGTGACTCCGAAAAAGCATCTTCATGTGTCAGAATAACTGAACTTGAGCTAATTTGTAATGAAAAATGTGAAAGAGACAAATCTCTAGATGAGCAAAGCTGGAAGAGATAAAAGCTGCAACAACAGCAAAAGCTGGTTCTACAAAGTGTAAAAATACGAGTCAATGGTCAGGTCTGCAGTTGTATATAATAAAGAAAAAAATGAAACATTGGCAACCATTTATCCTTTTCCATCCACTACATAGTTAGGCCAACACAAGGTAGTGGACATCAGATGAAATCTCCATAAAATACAGTCAAGTTTGTGGTTTGATAAAAGGTGAAAAAATGTAGTAAATGATTTTACAAGGCACTTTAATTCCGTAGTGAGTCAGAAGCTTTATCTCTGTGGTTTATTATTTTTAGATAATCTACGTAAAGAATTTCTAAACCAACATAGTCATTACACGTTCAGTTGTGAGATCAGATTGCATGAGGCCTAAACTGACGGTCTTCAGTGATGCATTTAAATCAAGTCTTGTTTTTAAAGGTGTTTTGTCACTTTGGAGTGCTTCTGCCCCCTGCAGGCAGCAGAGAGCGTCTACATGAGGCCACAGCACGGCTCCTTGTTGTTGGTCTGCTCCTCCTCAGGGGCCCGCAGTTTCAGCAAGGGAGGATCTCCGCTGGCCGGGGTGAAGAACACCTGACTGGGAAACGACGACTGCTCTGGAGTCGGGATCGTTTGGATTTCTGGTTGAGCCTGAGGCGTCGTGGTGGCGACAGCAGGCTCCTCCACCTCAGCGGTGGAGGGCAGCGGGGGAGGAGGTGCAGGATACTTATTGAGCTTGGCAGCCGCTCGCTGGCGCTTCAGGTCGGCCAGGGTGTGGTGCGATTTCTCCCGGGTCATGCTGTCCGCGCCCTCGCCCTCCGCCTGCCCAGACGCAGGACTGAGCTCGTAGGTGCCGCTGCGATCCATGCGGCCCCCGCCGCTCCACAGCTCACCAGGCACAGAGGAAGCCAGAGACACGGACGTCTCCCCGTTCGCCACGCTAGCCGACGCAATCTTTCTGTTGGCAACCTCCAGTTCCTCCAAACGTATCGTTGCTGCTCCGGTAGCAACCTGAGAAAACAAGAGAAACCTTTAATAAACTTAAAAAAAAAAAAAAAAAAAACTAGTTAATCAAGTCAAACAGGGCTTAATCGGACTCATTGTGACAAATCTATTATTGAAATAATCCTCGTCTAATTTAGTAATCGATCAATAGTTATCTGGAGTTTATAGAATCAAGAGTATTCGTCTTTGCAGTTTGTTGAAAGAACATCTTAGATGTACAAAATAAATTTTGCATTTAAGATAAAAAAAACAAAACCCTTCAAAAAAATTAGTTCTACCCAGAGCTCATTAAATGACAGCTTTAGCTTCACTGGGTTCAAATAATGTAAAAAGAAATCTCTTATTAAGTACCGTTTGGTACCCAATTATTAACCAATTAATCCAAATAATAATCACCAGATCACCTTTACAATGTGTTGACGTTAAGTTGAGCGGAAAAGGCTGAGTTTTTCACGTTGGGAGTATTTCTTAGCTGCAGATGCCCATTTTCCTCCAGATTATCAAGCATTCACTAAGGAATGCTGTTATGTTATTGTACTTCAGGCAATACAATATTTATTTTCTTATTTAACAAAGAATGAAGTTATTTATATTTACTTTAAAATGAATTTCTAATGTGTAAATAAGATGGAGTGGTTGAATGAAAAATGTGTAGAATGTACAAATTTTTTAATTTGATTAATCATCAGAATAATTGGCAGATTAATCGATTACTACAGCAATCGTTAGCTGCCTCCCTAAAGTCAAACTTTATATGAGATAAAGGAGCCATTTTCAGTCACCATGTGAGCATGCTGAAGCAGCTCAATGTCAGTCTGTCTGTCCTCGTCCTCGTCCTGTGATTCAGGTGTGGTCGCCGGCTCCTGCCACACGATGGCCTCCCTGTGGTGCTCCCGGCGGTACAGACTGGACCGTTCATTCACACTGACCCGACGCACAACCTTCCTGTGTGGGCAAATGTTACAGGTATCAGGTAAAACACCCAACTGCTCCTACTTCTGAAGTAAATCCCTGTTCTTGTGTCCCTGAATTGCCTTGTTTACCCCCTGCTTCCAGTGCTGGACACTCGTCTTTGCAGCGTGCCCTTCTGCTTGTCCTGACTTTTCATGATGGCATCATGTTTGTTCTTCAAATCCGTCAGTTTGGCTCTGACCTCCTCATCGATACAAACATCTGCAGGCGGAGCAAGACGTCACAAATTTAGCATCAAGTTACTTCAGAGAAACAAAACAAAATGACCACAAAAAGCCTCTGATCTCACCGAGCGGCGTCTCATCTAAAACAGACTTGGAGTTCAGATTGGCTCCGTGAGCCACCAGCAGCTCCACCACTTGGATCTGGAAACAAGTGAAAACAAATGATACCCATTAGACAGGTCAAAACAAAGTTACTCGAGGTCGACAGCAGAACGAACCTGTCCCCAGCAGGCGGCTGCGTGAAGCGGCGTCCATCCATCAGAGTCTTTCAGTTCCAGCTGAGCCCTCTGGTCGACGAGCAGCTCTACTACAGACATGTAGCCATTGGCAGATGCTATGTGGAGCTGGAATGGAAAGAAAAAATAATTAAAAAAGGCTACTGCAGTGCTGGATGTTTCTCATTTGACTGATTCTGAAGATCATGGATGTTTCACATTTTGTTGAAACAGTCCAGTTTGTTTGAACCCTCTTTTACTCCAGATTAACGCTTGTCCAGACTACACTTTTGTGGACGATCTCTTGTGTGCCATGTGTTATATCATCTCACCAGCGTCGCTCCATTGTTGTCTTGTGCATTTAAATCTGCTCCGGTGTTAATCAAAGCCTCGACGTCAGCAAGCATGGTCAGCTCTTTCGCTCCTCTGCATTCGTCTATCCGCTTCTGAGTTATCCCTGTGAAGAAAAAAAAAAAAAAAGGCAAAATGTTATGCTGAACAGTGATTTAACATAAATTATGTGAAACATTTTCTGTCCCCACTGCGCAGCAAAAGATTTTACATTTACGGACCCTGCTCAGCCATAACCATCTCTAGCAGCTCCAGCGTAGCCTCGTCCTCACAGAGGTCATAGGCCATGTTGCCATCTGCATTGACGGCCAGCAGGTTGGCTCCACTACAAGGAAATAGACATGCAAATTGTTCAGGCTTAGAGTGGCACACCCTTTTGTACAAAGCAATGTTTTCAAAGTCAAACTGCAGCCATATTAGCATTGGTTTTGCATACTGCATATCTTAGGTTTCTCAGTCTGTTTATCTAAATGAAAATTAAATAAATACAGAAGAGAAAGCGAGAGGAGTAAAAGGCTCAGATATTAGAAAGAAAAAACTTGGACATTTTTCAGAACGGAAGGGAAAACTGACGCACGCCTGAATGAGAAGCTGCACTAGTCCAGTGTGTCCACAGGTGGCAGCGGCGTGCAGCGGCGTCCACAGCTCACTGTCGCAGGCGTTCACAGAGGCACCAGCATCTAGCAGGCACTGAACTATCTCCACAAAGTCGTCGATGCAGCACTGAGAAGAAGAAAAACAGCAAAAAAACACAGAAAAATCCTAAAAATGGTAACTCCATGATGATTTTTAAAAAAAGATACAAACAATAAAGCACTGGGATAAAAAGCAAACAAGAAAATGCATGGATGGATAAATCATTGCCAGATTTTGAATGAAAACTAAGCTTACTTTAGAGGAAAGATTTGCATGAATGGCTCAGTCTTCTGCTGTGCAAATACAAAGTTTTTCCTAAAAACTCAGCTGCGACTGATTTTATAAAGAGTTCTCTGTTCAGACAAACACTCCTTTCATGAGTGAGAAGAGGCAGAAATTTACATCAACTTATAGGGAGAATAAATTACAAATGGTTTAAATTGTTAAACACACGCCATTGGAGTTAAAATCACAAAAATCCCTTAACTTTTTCTAAATCTGGCTATTAAAGTCCCCAGTTTGCTAAAATTGCTGGCCTTTGAACAAAAGTGGAGTTGAATAATCTAAGCTTACTTATATAAACTAAGTTATCTGAAGATTTAGACATAATAAAGACTTAAAAAAGGACATGATGGATGAAAACATCACAGACAGACACAACACTGGAAAGTCACAAACATTTTGAAAACATGCAATTTTTGTTACAGAACCTTTACTGTTATCCTAAAGCAAAGTAGGTCTCTGTGCATATTTGGTGGATTGAGGGAAAATTAATGAACTGAAAACATGGTTTTAAAATACTTAAGTTTTGACAATTTCAGCAAAGCCCTGAACCTTCTGCCTTGTACCTGATGTAGGGCTGTCAGTCCGTCCTCATTGACCAGATCTGGGCTGACCCCGCTGTTGAGCAGCTCTCTCACTAGAAAAAACAAAGGCACACATAAAAAAACACACACACACACACACACACACACACACACACACACACACACACACACACACACACACACACACACACACACACACACACACACACACACACACACACACACACACACACAAGACCCCACTGGAAGAAAGCCTGTACCTGTCTGTGGCTCCTAAACAGCAACAAATTTGTTTCTAGATAGAGATCAATGCTTTATTCCAAGCAGACAACAATAAACTTCTTGAAAACAAAATTGGGAGATATTGCAAAATAATCAGTAATTTCTCAGGGAAATAATCCTGATTTATTATGAGGTAGAATCCCTCACAAAACCAATAGGGCTTGTATGTGACAGGCCAAAACAAACTAATGCACAACTGTGAAAAAGGAACAAAATAATACACCCAGTTTTCAACCTTCTACACAAATATAAAACTGGTAAGAGTGGAATGCATGTTACTTAAATAACATTTAAATGTTATTTAAAGAGAACCATCTTTAGCTGCAGTTGAACCTCCAAGTATGCTTGAGGATTTCTATCTACTTTGTACTTTCAGATATTTAAATGTTTAAACATTCTTCTTTGCAGAAGAGCTGAAGTGCAGCCAGGAGTGATTTGTGAGCATTTGTAAACATCAGTTTTCAAGTCCTAAGAAGATTTTTTTACATCAATTTAGGTCTGGACTTTGATTAGGAGACACTTGGAGATACTTTGTTAAAGAGTTAGTATTCCAACCAAGATAATTATTTACATGTCTTCCGAAAATTATTCTTACGCTTTGGTATTACATAAAATCCTTCTTAGATACATTGAAGTGTGTTATTGTAATGTCAGAACATTTGAAAGCCTTTAAAGGATATGCAGAGTTTAGCAAGGTAGTGAGTGTGTGTGAGTGTGTGTTTACTTCTCACCCTCCTCAACGTCATTACGGGCCGCTGCTTCCAGCAGCGTGACAGAGTCGGGGAACTTCACTTTCGTAGTGCGTTTCTTCTTCTTGTCCGCCTTGGCCCTGGATCCTCGGGACGCGTCCTTTTCCATCTGCGTCCACGCCTTCAGCTGCTGGGCGCGGCGTTTCTGGGCGTGCTTCAGGCGCTCCGTGGCACTCAGACGCCCGACCGTGGCCATCTCTGCCAGCAGTTCGCCGTGGTCTGCTGCCATGGCGAACAGGGTGCCGGCTGTCTCGTGCCTGTGTTCGGCTCGTTCTCCGAAATCAGATTCTTTTAGTAATTTCAAAACTTTGTATCAGTCTTCTCTTGGGTTAAAGAACTACATCACAATGTTTAGCAGAATATAGAAAAGGAGTTAGATTTTTAGTACATAAATAAATAAATTACAAAAAAAATGGAAGTGATGAAAAATAAATTAAGTCAGGTTGCTTTTTCTCTAAATATCTCCATGATTACAAATTGGGTTTTATCAATGTTTTATATAAAAACTTTTATTGGACCAAAATGAAATGCTGTTGACTTATTACCGAAAGGAAAAAGTGTTAGCTTCTGCAAACTTTCAGTCCTTTCCATTTCACCTGTAGATGATCTTGCAATAATACATTTAAGGAAAGAAAAAGAGAAGGGAGATGGAACATAAACTCTCGGCTTTGTGGACTCGCTCTCTTCTCCAAAGTGTTTAATTTGGGGCTGATATAGTCCAAGAACTGGATTCAACAGGGGTCGATGCCTTCAGAATGTACTGGCGATGAACAAACATGCATTATGCGGATAGAACTGGAACGCTCAATGACAACAGATGCAGGATTTAGACCATGTCCTCCACAGTACCAGATTATTTCATAAATCCAATCGAGGTGCTCAGTAAACACTGCATGGCTTTTTCTTGTTGATGAACATTCTTCAGGTGAAATGTTGACAGTTCAGTCTGTAGTTAGCTGCTCCTCCAGTCTGATCCAGTCTGTAGGCAGGGAGAAAAAATGTGAGTGCTCCGTTACAGTAGAATGCATGAGTTCTCCACTTCTAACATTGTTATCTTTAACCCCGGAGTTCCCTCATCTCCCTTGTCTCTCCTAAAGAAACTTGAGATGGTGGGATGCTTTTCATTAATGATTGACACTAGCTGAAGCTTGCATGCAATGGCTGTTCCCACAGGGACGAGAGCAAGACACACAAAGTGGTTAAAATCTGCATAGCAACACTCTGTTTCAGTGCAAGTTCAAACTCTAGCAACGCCGGACATTAATATCTCTCCCGTTGCCTTTCGTTAACTTCCAGTAGAGATACACGACTCACACTCGGCTCTTTCCAGGCTACTCATATATTATTCAGGCTTTGGCCTGTACACACTGAGAGGAAGGTCAACTAGAGGCACTCACTAAGATAGAGAGAGTGAACGGTAAGACACTAGTGTGAGGACACAGAGCTATGGCAGCAAGCAACACGTGAAATGTGAGTGAACTAGTGTGCTTAAACCACACTACCTCAATAAATCAGTCGAATAGCAGACAAATTGGTGTACTGATAATGATAAGATATATCAGTTACAAACTTCCTCTCAGATGTTCGTCTTACCGAGGTTCATCATTCCTGCAATGTTTTTCCTGAATGTTATAATTCAAAAAGTTTTGAGCGATTTACAGCTAAAAGCTCCAATGATATTTTCAGTGTATAGAAATTTGCCTACACGCTGTCTGCTTTACCATTTTGGTTGGCCTTGTGAATACTCTATTTTAAAATATTCAGAGTCATAAACTACTCTGCAAGGATTTCCTTATGTTAAAGGTCAAAACACTCGAATCTACCAGGAAACAGTTGCGCTCATAAGTTTAAATACCTTGGCTGAATTTGAGATTTTGTCCATTATTCAGAGAACAATGCAACAAACCCAATATTATACAAGAACTTTTTGCAAGAAGATAAACTGTTCCACCAACTACCTTATAAAGTTGGTGTTCACTTACGTTGAAATGGGTAATAACCGGCATTAAGAAATGGTAATCTGGGAAGTTTCTGCTGTCATTATGATTCAAAGATTTTAAACACTAATGTTGATTATAAAGAGTTTCACCCAACCAGTAATCAGGAGTCAGAAAATATTTTGAATATATACATTTTCTGGGAAGTGAACAAAACTGTACTTCCTGGCAACTACCTAAATGCATTCAAAAAAATTTAAACAATGTTAGATGTTATTAAATCAAAATTTGTTTCTTTTAATTGGAAAACTCCTGTGCAGTTAAATGTTAGGATTTTTCAAAGAAACTTGGTTAAATGCCCCTTAATATCCATGGACTGAGAATTTGCCTACTTTTATCTGCCCAGATCATAGTCTGTTTTATTCATTTTTTTAATTTCTTCTTATCCAGGTGAGAAATTCAAAGTCCATTCCATAGAATGACGAGGTGAATTACAAGTTTTGCACTCAAGAGTCTTTCCATTGAAGCTGACTCGAGTTAAGTGAATGTGTAGCTAAACAAGGCTCAAACCAACCAAATCTTCACAAAAAGGTTTAAAATTGACCATCAGTGGTTAAAAGTGTATCATAATTTCCTCCTTTCTAAATGTATTTGCTTTTGTTCGGAAATGTCAGGGATGTAAACCACACTACTGCAAGACGTTCTCTTGACAAAGCAAAGCACTGCTATAAAGCTGTTGTTTCATGGCAACCTGTAGTCAAAAGAACGGTCATGTGGTGACCACAGCAGGAAGAAGCTCTGTGGGGACGATTTGAGACAACAGACTGGATCCACCCTCCTTGCCAGATGACTATTTAAATAATATCATCCACACCAGAACAGTGATGTGCTTCACCCAGATGTTTTCACAAATAAACACATCTTCTTCTATCTAACTTGACATTCTGAATTGCAACATGTCATACCACTTTTAAAATATCTTAACTTTCATCTTTTAAAAAAATTATGATTATTAATAATTCATAAGTATATCACTGTTTGATTACCATTTTATTTATTTATTTTTTGCTAACTTCTTTAAGAAACACTTCATTAAATAAATGATTAGGTTTACTACTTGATGGCTATTAATTTAATAAATGAGGTCATCTGAAAATTACAACCTGTATTTTCTCAGGTTATCTTGGTCTGATGCTTGATTTTTTTTTTTTTTTTTTTTTTTTTGATGAGCTGAAACATTGAAGTGTGACTTCTCCAGACTCCACAAAGGATTAAAACTGATTAAATAATAGATATTTGTTTACAATTTGTTCAAGCACAATAAAAAGAGGATCTACACCACACAGGGATTTGTCCAGGCGAGTTTAGAATCCAGTATCTTCTTTAGTAAATGCCCTTTTGTATTTAAAGGGCATTTAGCAAGGCTCCAAATGCAACACAGCTCTGTATGCGTGAGCTGGTCTCGGCCAACATCCCTAAATCACTTTTAACGAAACAGTCTCTGGAGTGACAACAATCCCATTAACAACTTAAACGTCTTCTGGGCAAAAGGGAATTGTCTCTTTAAAATCTCCTAACCGTTTGCTAGGAAGCTTAGCTGTTGCTGTTATGTCTTATCTAATGAGGACCATTAATAAACCTCTAATGGAATTGTCCACCATTTGTTGAAAGAACGGATAACTAAAATGTAATGAACACAAACACTAACTTTGACACATGAACTAACAGTACTAGTCTCCTACAATCCTTTTATGACCACAAACACGCAGTCAGGGCACAAGAGGTCAGTGTTTGCAGATTAGCGACCTTGGCAGAGTGAGATGGACAAGTCAGATCTCAGCCAAAGCCAATCAGTGCAGGGTATCAGAGGAATGAAGCTCAGCCACAACATTGCAATGTTTACTGTTGAGCTGACTGTTGAGCTGACTGAGAAATAAATCTTCATGGTTTAATTTACAGGTCCTACACATACTACAAAATAATGCGAACGGCATAGAAACTTAGGAGAGCGGTCTGCAAATTAAAGCACAACCTTTCCTAAACTGAGGAAAACCCTTTCCCCACACCCACGTTTTTTTTTTTTTTTTTTTTTTTTTTGTCAGAATACCCTGATAAGTATAGTGGCTTTATTTCTGCCCAGAAATACATGGATTTTTGAGTTTCTGATTGACCAGAAGACAACCATCCAATTATATTCACATCCTATGCTCAGTTTGGCTTATGGAATGAATTTGGAAGGATAACTTCAAAGGGTTTCTATTTATCTTCTACCCCACTCAGCTCCAGACTGTCACAGAAGCTGGACAGAAATCAAAGGTTTGTAAACCGGTGTGTAAACATTAGCATGACACAGCACTGTTTAAAATCAAGTTTCAGTAACAAACTTTATTCCAATTATCATTTATGCGTTTGCCTGCCAAAACAAAAAAGAAAGATAACACAGTTAATAAAACAGAGACGAAGGGGGAAAAAAGATCCTGATTCTCTGTGACTCACGGATTTAGGGATATTTGGGTTCTCTCATTACACTTGTTGTGGAATTTGTTGTTGGTAAGACTGTAGGAACCTTGTGAGTTTGAGTCAGGCAAAGACCAGTCAGAAGGAAAATATTGTATAAGGTTCAGCCATAACAAAAACTCCCTAGAAAAGAATTTCATACATGCAGAAAAAAAAGTGCATTTTAATGTGTTTGGAAACATTCTGCAGCATCACTCTGACATTTATAGTCTTCCGACCTTTTTTAATTAGATGACCTAACAGGAAGGGGCTGTGGGAGAACACAAACCTTCTCTGAGCAGCTATGATGAATAGAGTAGCGTAAACACACACACGCGTAAAAGCTCTTACATCCTTCTTTAGGTGGTACCTACCTCGGTACAACTTGATCACTCTTCCAAGAACATGGCTGAAAATACAGCTGACACCTTTGCTCAAACTTAAAGCCGACTACCCAAAGCGCTAAGAGCTTCATCCGTGGTTTATCGCCACCGAAACAAGTCCAAACTGGGCTGTGTGCTGCCAACAACCTTGTAAAGTGATTTGATGAAGCGCACAGACTGAAGCGAACAATGTTGAGTCAATGTGGCTTGATGGTTCGGGAACGATCCAGCATAAAACCCGAAACAATGCCAAGTGGCCAGAATGGCCTGCCAAACACACAGAAAGGCTTTTTTGTCACTTACTATGCAGCACAGACATCAATTACGGAAGAAGTGGAGCTTGAAACAGCTTGCTGAGTAAATAAATAACAATGGGTGTCTCTATTTGCATCAATTTAAACCAAAATTGATGAGACAAAACATGTTGTTTTTTTTTTTTTTGTTTGTGGTTGCAAAAAATCTGTATGTGATTTGGTTATAATTTTCCTGCCAGGCCTGAATGAAGGAGAGGCACAGAAAGAGCAAGCGAGGAGGATCTACAGTAAGCTCTGTCATGTGTAAAGATTTGGGTTGCCCCATATAATCACCCAGAAATCTCAGTAAATCTGCCAAGTAGCCAATAGCAAGGTAAGAGAGAGGGAGAGAGAGAGGCATTGGATGAAAAGGAAAACAGTCTGACTAAATGTGGACAAAAGAATCTGGAGACTTCACTTCTAAAATTAGATAGAAGCGAGTATCTGGCTTTTACACACAGAGAATAATGGATACAAAGAGGAATTTGAGCTCATGCTTTCTTGAGTCATCTGGACTTTTAGCATTACAAACATAAACCATTTCAAGATTGCTAAGAAAGATCTTTCTAGTAAGTACTTCACAGTCACAATTTCAGCTATAAACAGGATTTTTCCAAAATGACCCATTATTTGCACCATAAAACAGCTCTTTCCCTCATAAGCCCCCACAGGGTTCAAGTCCACTAAATCTCATGTGTTGATATTTAATCTGGCTTTTTCATTATTTTCCTTCCAGATGCACTATTTCCTTCCAGAGGAAGGAAATAATCTCGGTCTGCATTATAAACCCTACAAATATTTGACTACACTTCCCATAGAAATGCTGCTGAAAAAGTACTTTGCCCATACGCTGTATTACTCATGAGCAACACCCCGGTTTAATGTGTACTAGTTAAGCGGGGTTAATAAGTCACAGTGAGAGCCAAATACTCTCACTGTGAGTATTTAGAGCGGGAGGGATGTCCAGGCTGCAGAGATGAAATTTCACAGTAGCATCTCCTGGACGACACCTTCAGCTGTTGGCAAGCACTGCTAATCCATCTCAGTTGTTTTTGCAGCTCCTCTTCAAATCTCTTTTTGAGATTGGTGCTTAGATTTAGAAATGACATCAAACTCAACCAAACTGGGTTTGAAACCAGAGGGGACTGGTGACTCGGCTAACGTTTGTTAACTCATACAAGGCAATCATTCTTTCATTTTTAAACATGCTACATGCTTACTAAGGAAAGTTGTATAGTGCTGTATGGGAAAGATAACTAAGCCACATCTGTCTGTCGGTCATTTCTTCCACTATGTTTATGTCCTTGAGTTTTATAGCCTCTAACCCAGAGGTCCTTAACTCCAGGTCTTGAAGTCCAGCGTCCTGCAACTTCTAGATGTGTCTCTGCTTTAACACACCTAAGTCAAACAATGAGGTCATCAGCAGAACTCTGCAAACCTTGACCGCCTTCGGAGGAGGCAATTGGCTCCGTTTGAGTCAGGTGTGTTGTTCGAGGGACACATCTAAAGTTGTGGAGCATTGGCCACAAAGGACTGGAGTTTTACACCCCTGAACTCATCACATTTTTTAAATAAATATTAAGGTTGATTCATCTTCCCATCAAATGCTACCAGCTTCCTTGTCCTGCAGCATAACTTTGCCACCATGTTTCACTAAATGTGTAAAAGTTCTGAGGCTGTGACTAAATAGTGGGTGTGATGTGTCCAGAGTCATGTGCTGTTATTTTCCCACCATACTGAGAATTTTGTATGCAGCTCTGATCTCTCATCCAAGAGTATCAGAGAAAAGGAGGGTTAATCTGAATTCATATAATTGTTTGTATGTGTTTAAAACATACATGTAAAATTTACTTCCCACTAAACAATTGCACACCAATTTCTGTTCCTCTCACATTAAATATCAACAAAACACCCTGACGTATATGGTGACAAAATTGTGAAAAGGCATATGGAATTAAAGTAGAGCTTAGTTAAATTAAAAATACCATTTGAATAAACAAATAATTTTATTTTGATCAGTTTGAAGCTTAATAAATTAAAAAAACATAGCATTGTATGGTAATTTTTATAATCCAATAATTTGATTACCTAGCCCACATTCCTAATAACACAGAGGAAACCTTTTAAAAGTGGAGATTATATCCTGAACTATGACCTGAACTTTTATGTCACTGTGTCGACTATAGTTCACCAATTTCCGGACGATTTCAATTTCAAGCGGTCATAGAAGTAAATTAAGCATGTTGGGCTTTTGTTTTTCACTTAATTCCACTTTAAACTGTAATTAGAGGCTCTGATAGAAGCAGCAGAGGCTTAACATCAACCTAAACTGAGCTGGAGCAGCAGCAGATTACCTAACGCTCCTCAGCGGTCCACCTACACCAACGCAACAGGTAGCTGTTTGTCTGACAGGTAGAAAGTAGTTTAACTCACCCGCCTTCATTCACAGCGGGAGGGCTCTGACAGAGTCGACATTTTTCTTTTAATTAAGCCATAAAAGCCACTGAGAGCACCTGCTTACTGAGTTCATTGAGAGAGGTCACGTCATGCTAGCTTTGCCTTAGCTGGCTGCTGTTGAGCTGCTTCATAACCAGAAACAAAACCCGCTGCGGAGATTAAACATTATTTCATGTTCTCGTCGACGACTTTATTTGAAAAGGCGTGAGATGGAACCGAGCAGGACGGCCACTTCCACTCGAGCTTCATAGAAAACGCAGGAGTGACATCTTACCTGTTGAAGCGGCTGTCAGCGGCGGCTCCTGTTCAGCTGTGCGGCTGTGAAAACCGAGTCAGCTGCTGTCCACCGCTCCTGCTCCTGCTCCTGCCTGCCAGCCCTCAGGGGAAATGCCTCACCATAACAACCTGACCTGCACCCTCTCCTCCCACCGCGCAGCTTCCACTAGAGGGCGGCAGAGTCTTCCGGGGGGGAACGTTCAACTTTCATAGAGTTCAGTGTGCGTGCAGTTCTGTTCACCTCCAACATCCCCATTCAGTTCCAACTTTATTGGCATTTTGTCTGTTTATGAAACATTAAAAAACCCACAACGTATTAAGCATTATATTATTATTATTATTATTATTATTATTATTATTATTATTATTATTATTATTATTGTTATTATTATTATACCTACTGATAAACCAACACAAAATAGTTAATAATTATTAAGTGGAATTATAATGACATGTGATATTCATTGCACTGACTGGGCCATTATAATGAGAAGTTCCAATAGCTTGTCCTACAATTAGTTATTTTATTCTAATGACCTTCGAGGTCTCCCACGAACAGCTGTAGTTTCACAGAAATTAAATGTCACAAAAATGTAATTTAATTGCATATTGGCATCTGAAGGAAATTTATTGTACTGGATCTTTAAGATAAAGAGGGGTGCATATAAATGCAAGCCACACTTTCCACATTTGCATTTGTAACAACAATCATTGAAAACTTTGTATGGCTCTTCTTCTAAATCACACTTATGCACTATATTGTGATCAGTATTTAAATACCTTGAAGTTTGCGTTTACTAAAGGCTCGAGGGTGAAAACGTTCAGTTATTTCGTTGTGCGGTCATATGCCTGACATTGAGTATGTATTTCTTTTCTTCTCACATTGTGCAAGAAACGATTTCTGAGCAGAATTAGACAATTCTGTGCAATCTCTTTCATGTTAGTCTCAAAGTTCCAGGAATGTACACTCAACAAACCTTTTGTAAACAAGTGGGTGTGATAGCCTGATATGCCTCAGAGTAAAAGCACTCCACTCCTTCCTCCTATATACATATAGCCTATGTATAAATGTGTTAATCTGACTACATCTATCAGAGTTGAACTGTAGAGAATCACACCAAATAGAACAAGAACAAAACATCAATTTCACAAAGACAGTTCTCTTGTGGGATTTTTATTTTTATTTTTGCTAATTTGCTAGACCTTTCTGCTGTTGATTAGGCTCTAAAAATATTGAAACAAATTTGATCCTTTATAATTTGACAATGCAGTGAGCCAACCACTCTACTGAAACTCAGCAGGAACTATTGTTACTGTTCCCCACTGTGGCGCAATCAGTAGAGTTTTTCTAAAGGAATTAGGGTGTCGATATCAAAGGTTTTTATACACACAGGTTATTAGTTCATCAACCAAACTTCACATCACTGTTTAGCCATCAGATGCAACTCAACAGGTTGGTGGGCAGCTGTGAAGATTGGATGTACTTCCAGCAGATCAGGTTGTATGATAAGAGTTCCAGCACAGGGTACTAAAGCGTCATCCAGCCTTTCTGGCACTCCTGGTAAAGAAACGACAAAAGTGTTGTTGTTTTTTTTTTTTTTTTTTGGAGCAGAAAAAGGTTCCATGAAACAGAATATTTCAACCTCTCATTTGTGAGCGTTTGCTCTGTGGGAAGCAAAAGCTCACAATTTGCTTTCCACAGAGCAAATTACATAACAATCTGCTCTGTAGGAACTAAATTGTTCCTACAGAACAATAAGCTTCCCACAAACTACAGAACAAAATGAACTTAATTTTATAAGAATATAAAAGCTTTATGGACATTTCAATTAGCCTAGGGTCTTGTTTTCTTGGGGAAATAAATATGACATAACACCAAACATTTCATATTGCCATTGGCCACCAAGAGAGGGAAGAGTGCTGAAAGAAGGAAACTCACTATTAGAGAAGTGTATGACGGAGAATCCTTTTGGGCTGAACAATTAGTAGACTCCATCCACACACCAACTAGTAGATTCGGATTGATGCTAATAAAGAGAACATTTTCTGTCATGGAGAAGAGGGTCTGCTATCAACCATTGTGGATGTACCTTTCTCCAAAGACGACATTGTGGAAAAGTACATCATTTCCACTGCAAAATATGGAGGATGATCTGTGATGCTGTGGGCCCCCACTCTCCCAAACGCCGTGGGAACCTGCATTGTAAATTATCTCTAAAATGTAAAATTTTCTGTGCTTTTCAAATATCAAACATCCCCAAGTTTATCTGCAGGTTTATTCCTGTTCCTATATTTCAGCTGAAAAAGAAAAAGAATGCAGGGACCTTTCAGAGACAGATGACATGATTAAGACTTTCTTTCACTTTCTCCGTCCTCCTCGGCAGGTATTTGAAGCCTGCCGAGGAGGGATTTGTCCAGACACAATCAGCCTAAAGATGGACAGAATTGTCCTTGACGCTGTTCTATTCACAGGGCATCCCATTCTTCCCCTGCTTCACTGCTAATCCAGGGAAAACCTATTAGCTCCCACTCCAGCAGACAGGAAGAGAAAGCCTGACAGTTTTTATCGGAAAGGTGTTTTTGGAAACGAACACTTCTCTGTTCATGTGTAACACAGATTTTCCTGGTCAGTTCTATGAGGACACAGTCATGTAAGAACAAAGTTTCACCAAGTAAATTGGTCAATAGGTTGCAGTGAAGATGTAGGATGGCATTTGAACAATAACCACTAGAGGGGGACAAAGTGTCAGCAAAAGTATGACAAACTGTCAGCAAAAGTAAGACAAACTGAGAGAAGTAAATTGCAGATTGCAGCAGGTGGTTGATGGAGGCTTGTTGCTTATCTTAGCAGCCAAGTTCAAAGAGTTTGCATATTACTTCAAAGCTGAAATATTAAGTGGTGAGTCCTTTTTGCCATAATGCATTTTTTTTCCAAATATGTTTGAAGTAAATTAAATTATGGGCAGATATGGTGTTAGCTCATTAAACAAAGGCTGCAATTAGCACCTTAAAAAGTAATTGTCCAGTTTATCTCCAGCTAACATTTTAAGTTTTGTTAATTCTTCTGGGGGATTTGTAATGTGAGCAAATTTCCCCAACAACTGGGTGTGGAAACATTGGCTCAAGTGCTGCTAAGTGCTGCAAGCACAGCACTTAGCAGCCTGTAGAACATCAGAAACCCCAAACATGCTTTTGAATGGAAGGCCTGCCCAGAAGCCGCTTCCTCACATGCTAAGAAGCTCTTCCCGGGTGGGAGCAGACTCCAGCTCACCCCCCATCGGAGCTCCTTGTAATCCAACTTGTTGTCTCTGGCTTGCTGGGAAGCAAGACATTTACACATTAGCACTACATTGACCTGAACAAAGGACTTGCATTCCCGAAACTTTAGTCTCTGAGCACTGGATGACTTTCTGCACCTACCCTCCCTGCTGTGGAAAACAATCCTGCTGGTAGAATGTTCAGCAATTGGGCCAAATTATGTTCAGATGATCAGGTAGCCTAGAATTAAAATATATTTTTATAGTTAATAACTTTTGAAAGTCTTGGCTTTTCAAAATTTGAAAAACAAGCTGATGTCTTGCTATTAAAACGTGTTAATCCCAAAGTTAAAATCTAAAATAATGTCATTCCATTTGAATGAAACAACCATTGAGTTGACAAAGTGTATCGGCTCACAGTATGCATATATTAATGTAAAAATGTATGCACCAAAAATACCTATGCACTACATGAATTTCAGGTAAGAAAGAAACACATGGAAGTGGTAGCTGAAGAAAACCAGGATGGACTCTAAAGGTCAGGTGTATCAAAGATATTTAATTTTCATTTTTGCTGCTTGAAGCAAATTCATTTTTCTCTGGATGGGCGGGTACTACTGGACCCACCAGGGTTCACCAAATATCAGCAACCGCCTTAAGTAGGTGTCAGCTGGGTCTCAAATGGTGTTAACACTAAGAGTCTCACTTTTTAAAGGTTTTGCTGCATCACACCTATACAGGAAGATTAACACTAATTCATCCAATTCCCATTTGGGCCACATTTGTAAAATCCTGTCCGGGTGTCTTAGTGTCAGGGTAAAAAGAAGAAAAAGAACAAGAATAGTCTTTTAATGTACTGAATCTTTCCGTTTAAATATCAGCCAACAATTTAGTATATTGCTCACGGAAAATAGTTGATGAGTTTTAATCGAGATTAATCTCTCTGCGGAACCTCCCACACAATCTGTAATGTTTGACTTCAACAACAAATGAAAGATGCGCCTCTTAAGTTTAAGTGGAAATGAGTCCTCTGCTCACTACCAAAGTTTCTCAATAAACAATGTCTTTGTCCCTTAAAAACGCGGCCTTCTTCAATCATCGGTGC